GTCAGGCCGATTTCCCTCAACCTTTCTTCATAGGACAGTCCCCGTAGCTCTGGGACTAGTCTTGTTGCAAACCTTTGCACTTTCTCTAATTTCTTGACGTGCTTGACTAGGTGTGGATTCCAAACTGGTGCTGCATACTCCAGTATGGGCCTGACGTAGATGGTATACAGAGTCTTAAACGAATCCTTACTGAGGTATCGGAACGCTATCCGTAGGTTTGTCAGGCGCCCGTATGCTGCAGCAGTTATCTGATTGATGTGCGCCTCAGGAGATATGCTCGGTGTTATACTCACTCCCAGATCTTTTTCCTTGAGTGAGGTAGATTAGTCCATTTCAGACCCCCAAACATACACGTACAAACGCACTTACATAAATACACTTACATAATTGGTCGCATTCGGAGGTAATCGTTATGCGGGGGTCCACTGTAGTCCCCTTTTTATAGTTTGGCTTTTCCCGTTCGACTCCTGTTACCCTCTCCACCTGTAAGTCTACTATGTAATCAAAACTCAGGACTATGTGGTCACTAGCTCCGAGGGGCCTGTCATATGTGATATCATCAATGTCTTAGCTATTCAGGGCGAACACAAGGTCCAATCTTGCTGGTTCATCATCCCCTCTCTCTCTGGTAGTGTCCCTGATGTGTTGATGCATGAGGTTTTCCAGTACCACATCCATCATCCTGGCTCTCCATGTTTCGGGGCCCCCATGAGGCTCCAGGTTTTCCCACTCGATCTCCCTGTGGTTGAAATCACCCATAACCAGTAACTTTGCTCTGGGTGATTGAGCTCTTCATGCCACCTCAGGCAGTGTGTTCACCATCGCTCTGTTGTTCTCATCATATTCCTCTCTTGGCTTCCTGCAGTTCTGTGGTGGGTTATACATCACAGCAATGACTACCTTATGTACCCCAGATTGAATTGTGCCTACTATGTAGTCCCTTTATCCAATTTCGTCCATGCCTTCCATTTCCTCAAAACTCCATCGTTTTTTTTTTTGAGCAGTGCAACCCCTCCTCCCCCTCTACTCCTGTCTTTCCTCAGGATCTGATATCCCAGACTGCGTCTGTTATTGTCTCAGTGAGTTTCGTTTCTGTGACTGCTATGATGTCCGGGGACTTCTCGTTGATTCTTTCATGCCACTCCTAGTATTTATTTGCTATTCCATCTGTGTTTGTGTACCACACCTTCAGCTTCTTGTCTGTCATGGTGGACCTCGGGGAATATTGGGGTTGGGGGAGTGGGAGCCCTGGAGGGGCTATGGGGGTTTGTGGTGTGGGTGGGGTTTGTGATAAGGGTGAGGGCAGAGTGCCCATAGGGAGCTGCTGTAGCAGTGGGGTTTGTGATGTGGGGGCAGAGGGAACAGTGTATGGGTTTTGGTTGAGATTGTTCAGCTGCATTGGGGTTGTCACAGTGTGGGTGGGGTTTATGGTGGGGGTGGGGGCAGAGTGCCCAAAGGGGGCTGCTGTAGGGGTGGGGTTTGTGATGTAGGGGGTGGGGGCAGAGGGAACAGTATGCAGATTTTGTTTGAGATTATTCAGTTGCTTTGGGGTTGCTGTGGTTGGAGTCCTTCTGCGGGTGTCTCTGTAGGGTGTATTTGTCCTTCCACCTGAGTCTGGGTTCTGCTTGTCTTCATCGATGCTTTCTGCTCCTCCTTTCGTCTTTGTACCCTCTCTCTCAGTATCGTCCTTTCTTGATGTGTTCTGTCGCGATCGAGGTACACTCTCTGGTACTTCATATTGTCCCTCAGTCGTGCTTTCTCCTGCAGGACCCTTGTTATTTTGACAGGCCGTCTCCTTCTGCCCACAAACCACCCAGTTCTTCAAAAATTTGCCACCTGAGTCATGTCTCCCTCACCTATTGCTTTCAAGATACCTTCAGTCACTTTCTTCTCCCCCTGGTTTGTTTCATGATAGGTTTCCCCTTCAACTTCTTGTAGCCCGAAGACAAACACTGACCTCTCCCTCTCCTCTTCCCACTGTGTCTCTCTTTGCATCCTCTTAGATGTTTTAGCTCCTTCCATCGAAACGTTCCTGCCTTCAACCCCTGCCCTTGCTGCAGTCCCTATGCTCAGTGGACTGTCTTCCCTGCTCAGCTGTTCCCTGCCACTGTAGTTGACTGTTAGAGTCTCTGCATAAGTCATGTCTCCTGCATTGACTGCAGGCTTCTCATTTGGTCTTCCTGTACTCATCTTTTCCTGAATCCCTACAGCCCCCTCGTCTGTGACTGGTATAGAAGTTCCTGATGTCATGCCTGTGCTGTCATTTGTCTCTATATTCTGTTTCAGTTTTTTTAGCTCCTCTTCTAAGCACTTTATCTTATCTTCTGCTGCTAAGACTTGTAGCCCCCACTTCCTGCTCTCTTCAGCTATCCTCTCCTCCATTACCCTGCCGAGCTCAGATAGCTTCCGTCCACACTCTTGCTCCATTTTTGTGAGCTCTAACTCCCAGTCTTCCCTCCCAGGTTCCTCCCTCCTGGGTTCGACCTCCAGATCCCTGGGTCTCCGCCCTCTTGGGTTACCCAGTTTTTTTTACCACGGAAAGGAGCTTGCGTGTGAGAGAAAGGGAGGGAGAGAGAGAGAGGGATAGAGAGAGAGGGAGAGAGAATGCTAGGGATAATGAATGTGAACGGAGGAGAGTGAGGGGAAGCCAGGAGGAAGGGGTAGGAAAAAAGGAAAGATGAATTGAAGGTGTGTGTGAGGAGGGGAGAGAGAGAGAACGAGAGGTCGAGAGAGAAGATAGAAAGAAAGAGAGAGAAGATAGAAAGGAAAAAGAGAGAGATTGAGGTGAGGGAGGGAAAAGGTGGATAGAGAGGGAAAGAGAGAAAGGTAGAGAGTGTGTGTGTGTGTGTGTTTTTGTGTCTTTGTGTGTGTGTGTGTGCGTGGGGTGTGTGTGTGTGTGTGTGTGTGTGTGTGTGTGTGTGTGTGTGTGTGTGTGTGTGTGTGTGTGTGTGTGCGCTCACCACTAAATCAGAGAGTGAAGGTAAGAAAGAAAACATCATAATTTTTGAGAGTAAGAGGGGTCCCAAGTGGAACGGTATGAGAGCCATCGATTTTCCTAGTACACATGAATGATCTACCAGAGGATATCAAATCCTGTGTTTGCTGATTACATGAAATGAATAAGAAGAATAAGACGATTAAAAGACGGAAAAAGGCTACAAGAAGAGTCTTAGAGGCTGCAGATGTGGTCAGATAAGTGGCTGGTGGCAAGTAATCCAGATAAGTGCAAGGTTCTGAAAACTGGAGATGGTGAAGCATTTACGGAACTCTGGAAAAGGACCTAAGAGTAGTCAATACACACAACGCATTACCAGAGTTGCATACACTCTATATAATGCATAACATGAGCAACGCATGAGAGGGGTAACGAATTTTAGAATTACCAATTTACCTTAACATGGAATCCTGAACATTGTACATGAAATAGCATACGCATCACAACAGTCCAAACCTTATCTTTTTTAAATGACTTGAGGTTTGCATTTAGGTTCCAGAATGTATTCTAAGAATCGTACAAGAGAGAATGGTCAGAGGAGACATGACAATGACGTTTAAGGTATTCAAAGGTTACGATCAATCAGACTGGGACAGACTGAAGTGTGAGGCACTGAAGCAAGAGGACGGATACTTTAGGAAAACTTTCTTAATTAAATCAGGGAACGGATGGTGTTTGAACCTATGGCAAGTTCATCTTAAAACTCAGCCCTGTGCATTAACAACTCGGCCAGCCGGCTAACGTGCCACGGGTTCAAGTCCCACCCGCCCATGGTTTGTTTACAATGGCGTTATTACGATATGGCGAGTCAACCCTTTAGCCTCAACGTGGTAAACAAGTGTAAACATAGGCTTGATGAGGAGCGGTGTGGCCAACAACATAAACACAACTCTGTGAGCAGATATAGCAGCCATGGATGCCAGAAACCAGCAACTGTCATCAATATGTTTTACGAGAGAAAGCAGTGACCGTAAGTCTCTAACTCCACCGCTCAACATAACGATATGGACACACTACACCGTTCTTCACAACACTACTACAACACACCTGCAACACAATGCAGCAGCACACTGAAACACGATTCAGCAAAACACAATGCACTGCAATATACAATAACAAAATTTACCTCAATACAGCACTTTTAAACGAAATAAAACTAATACATTTTTATAGAAGAATCTGCAACACAACACACAAGAATGCAAGACAAAACAAGACACTGTAATACACTATGCAATGATAAAACAATACAACTCAATATACCAACAAAACAACGCATTACAAAATACAACAAAATATCACACTTTACAAAACAAAATACAACACAACACAAAAAATACAAAAAGTCACAACACAAAACAATATAGTACGCTGCAATACAAAACTCTAGAAAATAATTTTAAACAATGCAACACAGTATTACACAATACATCGCATTCAAAACAAAATACACCACAATACAATACTAATACAAAACATTACAATAATACAGGACAATACCAAATATTAACAAAACACACACAAGAAGACCATGCAACACACAGTACAACACAAGACAATACATCATACGAAATTCAACACACAATACAACAAACAACACTACAACATACAACAATACAGCTTGCAGCTATACAACACACAAGAATACGACTTGCAATAACACATCATACAGCAATACGACACACAACAATACAACACGCAGCAATGCAACACACAACGCATCACGACAATACAACACAGAATACATCACGACAGTACAACACAAAATACTAGACACTGCGCCTTACCACAAGGCAATGCAATACAATACATAATACAGGACGACACTACAACTCACCACAGTACAATACAACACAGAATATAACTCACCAAAATACAAAGCAATGCAATGCAACACAATACAACGCACAACACAGGTTACTATACTTCGCCATAAGACAATAAACACGACACAGAACACACCAACTCATAACAATATAAGATAATACAATACACTACAACTCACGGTTCATGGTGACTGTAAGAGATGCGCTAGTTGGTGTGGTCACATTGCTATTGGAAGCGTAACAGGTAAGGATGGCGTTATGGAATGTTCTTGACAAACGTAACAAGTTGAGCTGGTTCACTGTTATGCCTGACGACCGAGATTCCTCCGTTGCGTCCAGGACCTGCAGACAAATAGGGAAGATAGCGGGTGAATATATATGGGAAAGAAAGCAAAGGACGTTGTCGTCTACACTAACGGTATCTGTAACAGAGAACTATCTACCTCTCTACATTGTGGATTATCATGTATTAAGTAGATAAGTTTAGTTAGGGGTTGACTCTAAGGCAGCGGGTATACAGGGCAATATTTCGCTCCTGTCACGTTATCATACCTTTTACCTTGTTGCTCATTATATTTTTATCATGCTTTCTCGCATATAAAACAATTTGGACTGATCAGCAAACATGACAAATAAACTTATACTCGTGAGCATGGAGGTCGTGAGGGCTCCAGCATGTCCACTTGGTTCTTCAACGACTGTATTGTCTTCATGCTGATAACATTAGGAGGTAGTTTATTCAGATCTGCTATAATTCTGTTTTCAAAAATACCCTGTCATACATTCTCGTTGCACCTTCTGCAATATGAGATATGAACTCATTGAGCATTTCAAATCGTTCTTAATGTTTGTATCAATGCCATTCTATATTTTAAAGGTTTGAATGATACCTCCTCGCAGTCTCCGATTGTTAGTTTCAGAATGATGGAACGAGTTTGGTAGCTCGTTCCTGTACCCTCACCAGTATATCTTTGTTATGTAATTTGGAACCAAAACTGGATGACACGCTGAAGATGCAGTTTAACAAGTGAATTATAAAAGTCAATATGGTAAGTGGTATTTTGTGCTCAAAGTTTCTAGCTATGAATCTTAAGTCTGGCAAATTTACGGTACATTACATAGATTAATTTGCTTCCAAACATTTTGTATTCATGTTTGAGGATAATTCCAAAATGTGCTACTTTGTACTTATCTACGATGAAACTCATCTTTCACATCTCTGGTGACGGCGCAAACCTGTAGAGATCACTCTGCACAAGGAATCTGCTGTGGATGCTGCAGTGTTCCCCAGTCTTATCTCTACCTCGAGATCGCTTATTTGGAATCCTTTAAGGAATACCTTTTATGAAGTTGCCTATTATTTTTCCTTAGTTTATTTTCTTTTTTTCTCCAACATTTACATTTTATTTCGCTCATAACTCGAGAACGCCTCATCCATTCAGCTTCAATTTTTTCAACACTTGTGTACAGTAGAGAAGAAAAAATCTTGGAACAATTGCCATTTTCCCGGACCCCGTGACCAAAGATGTTGAACCCATTCCAGTCTTCCTGGAATGTCTTAGATAACTTCCAAAATCCTCAGTTAAATCACGTTAAATATTATTCAGTTCGCCTCTTCTGAACGGTTTCAATATTCGTCTTACGACCAGGATTGTATCTATAAAGCTTCATTACCATGCAGTCAAACCTCGTATTCGTTGAAATCTGTGCCATAAGTGGAGCATGACTATCAGATCAGCTTCAAATGCTATTGGATGGCATAAAATTAAGTCCTAGTTTGTCAATATATTTTGAATCAATAGTGATAGTAATTTTTATTCAATAATTGACGAACGCTTCTTCTGACTGGCTTCAAAATATTATATAAGATAAATTCTAAAATAAGAAGGATACCCCACAAGTGTAGTTCAAGTACAAATTTGAGATTCTGCTAAAATAATTAAAAAAAAATAAAACAGAATCGTTTGGATATAATTTAATTACTGGAGAATGCCTTTTCTGGTCGGCTTCAAACTTTTACAAATGGTGGACTTTATTAAGACACAGATTGTTGCTCACTCTCAAGCGTGTAAATTTCAATTTGCCAATTGTATAATACAATTTGTCTTCCGGGTAATAACAAGAGAATGTCTCTTCTAATCAGCTTCAAACCCTAAATGTTGCTGTATCTTAAAATGAGTATTTTTTTTTTCATTTATTTTCTGCTATATGGATGCCATTTTGCATTTTTTACCAATTTTATGACACTGGATATGATAAAGAACAATAAGGCATAATATCGTGACTGGAACAATACGCGAATAGCCCCATGTGTCTGGAACAATACGCAAATAGTAATAAAGTTGGTAGAATTACCGACAATATGTAAAGTAAAAGGACACAAGTGCAACTAATGTGACATTTATTGTGGCAACGTTTCGCTCTCCAGGAGCTTTATCAAGCCATTACGTAATGGCTTGATAAAGCTCCTGAAGAGCGAAACGTTGCCACAATAAATGTCACATTAGTTGCACTTGTGTCCTTTTACAATACGCAAATAACTCCAAGTGACTGGAACATTAAGCAAATAACCCCATGTGACTGGAACAATACGCAAATAACCCCATGTGTCTGGAACAATACGCAAATAACTCCATTTGTCTGGAACAATATGCAAATAACACCATGTGACTGGAACAATACGCAAATAACCCCATGTGACTTGTAAATGGTCCAAGTCCGACCAAAACGTCGTGATAAGGTTTTTCTCTCGTATGCGCGGGTTTTGTATTGAATTTCATAATAATAATGATCAAAATAAAATAATTTTCCTTACAGGATTCTAGAGAACTATGAAAAGAATTTAAATAAGAAAAGCAACCTGGAAAGAAAATAAAAAAAAGTCAGCGGTTTTATGGGATTTTTAGGTTCAACTGTACAAGATTTACTTATTTTTTGGAAGATTTTCAACAACATTTTCGCTTGTTTTATCAAAAATTTTCGTTACTCGAGAATGTCTTCTTCGATCGGCTTCAAAATTTCAACGCTTGTGTAATGTATATTGGGCAAAATTTATGGCAATATTTTCATGTGTGAATATTTAATGCACAATCCTACATAGATCATTTCCAAATTTTGTTCCTAAGTAGAGACAGACTCCTCTGATCGGCTTCAAATATTTCAAATATTTAGAAGTTGATATATTTAATGGAGTGACTCTATTTTGCCACTTTTAATGTGGAAAATTATATAGTAATATTTTAAATGATTTCTTTATTTTGCTTTGATGCTGGTGATGCGCTCTTGATCCATGGAACTGAACTTATCTCTCCTTGCTTGGATCAAACTTGAATCATTACCATGCCATAGGCGCCATTTGACCACTGCAGGTTTAACGCTTTCCACTGATTATAACAACTGTGAACGGCATCGATCTTCATTGGTTGATGCATCGTATGGAATGGATGGAACGTTTCATAGGTTTAGGCTGTGCAGGTACAAATGTTGCTGGATTCTGTGCAATAACTGGAAAATTCATCTTCTGGATTCTGTGCAATAACTGGAAAGTACATCTTTGGGATTCTGTGCAATAACTGGAAAATGCATCTTCTGGATTCTGTGCAATTTATTTATTTATTTATTTATTTATTTATTATAAATTTGTGCACACATACAGAGGTACAAAAAAAAATACAGATAAGAGCAGTATGCCAAAGCCACTTATACTATGCATAGCATTACGGGCTGGCTTAAAATTAACTTAAGATTAACTAAGCAATGATGAAGTCAGTGATAAAACATTAATGTAAACAGATTACTATAAAGCACAAGTGAGTATTACAAAGACAGGTCATATGAAGGATTCTGTTAGGTAGTGTATTTAAAAAATAATAAAGTTAGATTCGGTTTTAGGTTTAACATTTATGTGATATAATTGTGAGAAACATTTAAGATATACAATTTATAAGGTTCAGTTATTCAGTATTTATTTGGTTTTGGGTGAGTAAGTGATCTTTGAGTAGAGACTTGAATTTATAAACATGTGTTTCTTTTATATTTACAGGTAATGAATTCCAGATTTTAGGGCCTTTTATGTGCATTGAGTTTTTGCATAGTGTGAGATGAACACGAGGAACATCAAAGAGTGATCTGTGCCTTGTGTTATGGTCATGTGTTCTGTTGAGGTTGGCAAGGAGATGTTTGAGGGGAGGGTTAATATCAGAGTTAAGTGTTCTATGTATGTAATAGGTGCAGTAATAAGTATGGATGTTTTGTATGGTGAGTAGGTTTAGTGTATTGAATATTGGTGGAGTGTGCTGCCTGTAGTGAGAATTTGTTATCATTCTAACTGCAGCCTTTTGTTGGGTAATTAGTGGTCTGAGATGGTTAATTGTTGTTGAGCCCCATGCACAAATTCCATAGGTGAGATAGGGGTAAATAAGAGAGTGATATAGGGCCAGGAGGGCTGACTGTGGAACATAGTACCGTATCTTCGATAGTATGCCTACAGTCTTGGAAATTTTTTTAGAAATTTGTTGTATATGTGTATGAAAATTTGAGTCTATTATCAAGGTGGATTCCTAAGAATTTTCCCTCTGTTAGCTTTGTGATAGGTGATCCGTTTATCATTTATGTTAAGAGGGACATCTGTAGCTCTGTTACCAAACTGAATGAAGTAGGTTTTGTCAATGTTTAGTGTAAGTTTGTTAGTCCTCATCCAGGTAGATATTTTCTGTAATTCGGTATTTACAGTATTGGCTAGTGTGACTGGGCTCGGGTGAGAGAAGACGTATGTAGTGTCATCTGCAAATAGTGTGGGTTTGAGTAATTGCGAAGCATTTGGAAGGTCATTTATGTATAGGAGAAAGAGAAGAGGGCCAAGGACACTTCCCTGTGGGACACCAACTGTAATTGGTTTGCGCAGAAGAGTTTGCCCCATTTGCGTACACATATTGGCTTCTGTTGCTGAGGTATGACTTGAGGTAGTTGAGGGAGTGCCCTCTTATACCATAGTGTGACAATTTTACGTGGAGCAAGTCATGGTCAACTGTATCAAAAGCTTTACGTAAAGTCAATGAAGATCCCCAGTGGGACTTCTTTTTTCTCTATTGCAGTGTATATATGTTCTAGCATGTGTATAATAGCATCATTAGTATTTTTTTTAGGCCTGAATCCAAATTGGCAGGGGTTGAGTATGTTTTGGGAGATAAGGTAGGAGTAGATTCGTTTATGAATTAATTTTTCGAAGATTTTTGAGAGGGGGTGTAAGTTGGATATTGGCCTATAGTTATTCAACTCTGTTTGGTCTCCTCCTTTGTGGATCGGGGTGACCCTTGCTATTTTGAGTACTGTAGGGAAGGTGG